TAAATTGATAACAGATAAATCTCTTTTGATCACGATAACTATATTCATTTATTTTATTCATATAAAAAGACAGCTTGAACAAATTTATAACATTAGAAAAAAAAAGAATCATAATTTTACATAAAAATTGATATCTCGAAATATTATTTTGTTGTTGTTGTTTACGAGCGTATTTTAAATATATTTCATCGATTCTCCTGAAATCCTCTGAAATCAAAAATATTGAAAATAAAAATGTAGAAAACTGAAAATGTCAAAATTAAATCATCAAAATACTGAAACGAAAAACTAATTAAGTCTGCGATCATTAAATTATTGATTTATTTTATCTTTTGTTTTCTTTGTTAAAATGTCATTTTACTGTCTAAAAAATTTTGTGAATAAATTGCTTTATTTCTCTAGCATAAGAATGAATCTCCAGTTAGTGACATATGCAAAAAAAAAGTCTTGCTTTACAACAATAGAATTATACTTTATTCAATAGTATCAAACCTAAAACTTAAACTGAATCGAAACTTCAAGTTTTAACTTTCTATGATTTCTCAGAACTTTGTCGTGGTATGTGCACCAGCTGCCATACTCTCAAAAAGTTTTTTGATGTGAAACTTGAAACTTGAATTCAAATTTTAAATGTTGCATGTATATGCTGCTTTCAAAGTTATTTTTATTTCTATATTCTTCATTTTATATTTTACTAATCGTTAGTTGCTACATTTTTATCGTTTGAAAGCTATACTTTCGATCAAGTTTAGATTTTCTATTTCAAAATTTGCAACTTTCACAGAAAATCGTCGTTTTATTTGATGAAATCGTAATATAAACTGATAATTGATCGACTGAATAGAATATAATCAACATGATAATTGTTTTCATGATTTTTGTAATATAGAAACTTTTTCGAAGTCAGTCGTTTAAATTAACAATGAGAACTATTGTTCAGTACGATTTGACATTTTCCAATTTGCAACAAGTCAATTGTTCAACATGGTATTTAACATGAATTAGTCATGAAATCCATAGGTTCCGTCTGCTAGTTTCACATAGTGATAAGTATGTGACGTAGAAAACCTTAAAATTTGCACTTGTTTGACCAGAAAGGCAGAAAACAAAGCAGAGGAACAGAAGATATACGATCCAAATTAAGGGGATTTTGTATCCAGAATGTTTCTTTGTACACATCAAATGAAGATTAGATATCTCCTGTAGTCATATTGATTTAGCATATCTGATCAGGTATCAGACGTTGTATGATCTTTATTCCATGAAGGATCATTTTTTTCTTCGTTCTGTATCCATTGCAACTCATTGCACAATCACTGCTATATAATTTATATGAACTGATAACTATGTTAAGAATATGAATACTTGTTTTAGATTATCAAAAGTTATCAAGAGATTTAATTTCTCTGTATATTTTGGGAGCAGCACATATTGGTGATTGTTTTTTTTTTCTAATCTTCTTCAATAAACTAGTTTAAAATATAAAGTTTTAGCTTTTTTACCGTTCTTTGTATTGAATTTTTATCAACTAGATAATTTTTTTTCAGTAGTATCGAGATTGAAACATGGATTTAATTATCTATCCCATATAATATTCACACTTGAAGCAAGACACTTAAAACTTGCTGTATATCTTGATCTTTTGTTATATTTTCACCTAGCTTGATTGTGTGTAATTTTGTATCATTACTAAGTATTCCGTAATAGAACATTTGAAATCCAACTTTTTAAAATTTATTTTTATTAAATTTAATAGATAAACTCTTTGATTTTTTTAATAAAAAAGATTAACTAAACTATTAAGCTGATACACAAATATATATATATTATTTTTAAAAAAATTATTTTAAACATTTTTTTCTGCACTTAATTTATTTTTCCCAAAAATTCGAATATCAATCAATTTTCATATTGAAAATGTATGATACGACAAATAGTAGATGATAAGAGCAAGCTTCATGTTAGACAAATTACCGTAGGTTCGAATAGATAGAAACAATATGAGCACATTAGAGTAGCTAATAAAAAAAATTTCACTGACGAGTATGGAGTAGGTCTTAAAAAGTTAATGCACAGATCATGAATAACATGAGAAAAAGTTAGTCGTGATTTGACGTTTATCACACTATGAAATTCTTTGTTTCGTATTTTTCGAGTATCTATCTACGGTAATATTGTTTATGATTCACTTTTATTTTTATTTTAGATTTTTTTTTTCAATTTTAATATAAACTTCATTAAAAAATGGAAAATTTCGATAATAATCAAAATATTGAAGTAGTACAAATAAAAAAGAGTTGGTCAAAATATCTCATTGATTATCTAAAAGATTTTAATTTTTATAAATCAAATTCAAATGATATTGAAACGATGTATAAAGAACGATTATCAACTCGTTTATTTATCTCTTTATTATTTATAATTATGATTTGTATAATTATTTATTCGTCGATTTTATTACGTACAGTCAATATGACGATTCGTAATCCTTCTGAAAAGAAATTTAAAGATATATATGATAAATATCCTAATACTTTAACATGTCCATGTTCTTATACAAGTCCACAATATAGTGAATTTGCTAATTTTCAAGTTATCATTCATGAAGTTTGCAATAGTGTATTTATTTCACAACAATGGATTAATGAAATTTATAATGTTAATGTTTCATTTATTCCATCAAATGATATTCGAACTGTATTGAGTAGTTTTTGGCAATTAGTTCGTTCATTTTGTAGTATAATAAATGTTTCTCTTGATGATGCATTCAGTGAATTTCATTCAAATAACTTATTGAGTCTTTCTGCACAATCTCAACAATTATTAGAAACAAAAATAAAAGCAACTTTAGATTTCGTAATTAATTCAGCAATAATAAATCTTAAAAAAAATCTAGCTATTACATGTGAAACAATTTCGATTAATGAACCAATATCAAGCTTAGCTACTAATTACTTCACATATATAAGTAGTATAAACGTATATACCACTCCACCAATTGGTATTGATATAAATGCAACATCTTTTGCAGATGGCTGTTCTTGCGAGAACCTTAATGGATGTTTACGTTCGGCTATTATTTTTGAATCTGATGAAATATTCAACTTTGCAAATGTATCAGGCATTATGTTTGATTGTTTACCATTAGATGGTGCACTTGCTTCATCATTTGAATGTTTCTATGAATCTTGGTGTTTATCATTAATTATGAATGTATCAAAGACTAATATGAGACCAGAGCCACTTCATATTCAAAGTCGTTTTGAACATAACACTAGTTTAAAGAAACTTTTAGATGAACTTATGATTGAACAAATAACAATGACAGTTAATTTTTCATCTTATTATTCTATTTGTAATCCAAAATATTGCACTTATTCATATATTCATAGATTCGATATACTTTTCATCATTACATTTACAGCAGGTGCATTTGGTGGTATATTGACAGTATTAAAATTTATAGCACCATTTTTGATCAAATTAGCATATTGGATATATTCATTAAAAAACAGAGATGGTCCACGTACTGATTATAATAAAAATCAATCCACCAATCTAATTCTAAGTAAGTTCTTTCATCTTTGCCGGAAACTCCTTGGTTTTACGTGTGATTTATGCTTAAATGTTGGCTAATTCGAATTTGGATTTTTATATACACTTCAAAAATTAATCTCAAAGAGACCTACGAACTGACCAGTTCAGTCTTTACAATATCCCGGTCAAATTCGAAGATGAAAAGGATCAGACGAGTCGTTCCTGAGTTATTGGAAAAATACCCATTTTCCCTATAGATTCCTATGGAAAAATTGACCCATCGCCACTTTCATAAACGACTTTTCCTATCATAGTTAATTAAAACGCCAACTATTATATACCATTCGATAGAGAATTTCAAGAGCTACAAAATGTTATATAAAACATGAGGAAACAAGATAATTATCTCACCCATCGCAAAGATAAATAGGGAAGAATCGATTCTGTTTTTGTGTACGCTTTAATTAATCATCAATATGATCTCTATCTTTTGACCATAGAGATGATAATCGAAGATTTGCTGGGACGGAGAAATAGAATCTGCACTAAACTTGTTTCGAAACCTCATTCGTTGAGTATTGACCAATAGAAATTATTTTTTAGGAAAAACAACTTTCTGACAGTAAATAAAGGCGAACAGATGAAATTTGAGCTGTATAATACGCTCGTAAGTCCTACGATTGAAGAGTAGGCAATGGAATTCAAGGGTTTATAGAAAGAGTTTGACAGGAAAATTTTTATATGGCGAAATTTGTCGGATGACCGATTTGTCTCATTCACTTTTTGAAGTACACATAACTCTCGGATATAAATCCGAGATTTTCACATTTATTTTTTTCAATAATGAAATTCTTTTGACAAATCTGTAACATGTCCGTCCATGATAACTACAGTTATATATAACAGATGATATGTGTCTACTTAGATGTAAATTATGATATAATTTTTATTCGAATAAGTCTGTCTCGAAAACAGAGTTCTAAAATCTTCCAATGATCGTTTGTGGTACACGAAAATCTGTCAAGAATGTTAAGAGAACAAATCATGTAAACTTTTACAGTCATCGTGCTATAGTTGAATGAAATGTTTCTGATAGTAGTTTTAGAAAAGAATCGGTAACAGGTTAATTAATTCTTTCAAGAGATTAATATAATTGGAGCGTATTGAAAAACTTCTGTCTGATACACCGTAGCATACTGTACAAATTATTGACTTTCATTATAATTTTATTCAGTGAACGGTGTTTAATATTTTGTATAGTTGACAGAGTTCCGAGTAGGTTGGGGACAAATCCAACTTAGTCCGGCCCAGTTCGTTCCATAGACCGAAGTCTAAATGCGATATAGTAGATTTAGAAAAAAATATATCGGGTATTTTCAATGGATTTTGGTGGAGGCATCCAAGAAAGGGATTACACAGAAAAGTCAAAGTCTTTAAATTTCACTCCTTCTTGCTTAGATTCGAAGATACCTTCCACTTCTTGGACCTCTAATACAGAGGAAGTCTTCAGAAAAGTTCGCTTCTTAAAATATATTTTAAAGGTCAATCGAAGACCACAATTAATACCATAATGACTTAGAGGAAGCTTGGCTAAACACTGAAATATTTCAATTTCAGTTCTTATTGTAACCCATATCAAATGAGAATATCTCAGAACTAAAGACTGACTTTATGCAATGGTCGATCGTAAAACTGTCGTATGGAAAAATAATTTTGATGTGAAAGGTAGCCGGTACGTGTTTAAAAGGGTTATGGATAGTAAAGAACATGTTTTCTTATATATGTTAGTGTTAACATTCTGATAGTGATTTCAAGTAGATAATAAGAAATGTTGATCATGTATTACTTTTTGGCTTAGTCACCATCTATGATAGGCTTTCTAAGTATTCCGTAGCATTCATAGCATCATCATAACAACATTCACCAAAATTATCAATATGACGTTAGATAGTAATTGTTCTAATCCGTTTCGATCTAGCTCCTAAATCTCCATTAAAATTAATATTCGTGTGGTAGAAATAATTTCATTTTCTCTGAAAGAATCTAGTAAATGACTAAATATTTGGATGATTAACATGTACTTGACAATGAAAAGGACTAGGAAACACTTCCTGAAACATAAAAAATGAAATTTTCCACTAAATAAAATAAAGAAAACTTACCTTTGGCATTTTTATTTGTTCTTATACTTTGATCGTGTAGACTCCGTTTGAATACAGGAACGTTTAAAAACTGTTGCTCTTGAAAATATTCTAATAAATTATTTATTATGTTCTTCAATTATTTTGCTTTTGTTACAGTCATTCCATAATAAATATCTTCGATTTTTGTTTCCGAAAACAATGAAAAATATATCAATTTTCAACATAAGTCTATAATATCGTCATCATTGTTATATATTGTTGTTAAACCAACACTAGATTAGTCATTTTATATAAAAAAAAAAGTAACAATGAACAAAACGTGATTAGAGTCATCATTTACTGAAGAGATCGTTTCTTCCAACTTTGATTCTTCCACTGTTCTTCTACTTCAATATTGGTTTTCGACATTTTATCTCTTGAAATTTTTCTTTTTGATATTTTTACGACACACACCAATGCAATTACTTTGTCTCTTTGCTCAACAGCTAAATAGGAAAAAGGTTAAGAAATCGATACGCAGACATTTTCAAAAATAAACTACCTGCTAAAATCTTCTTGGTATTCGAATTTTATTTGATCTTTTATGGACAGAAAATAATAAAAATATAAAACATCTCCTTGTCCTAAAATGGCCGATCAATTTTAGTAGTAAATTACGGTATTTATTGAAACCATTGGTTTATCGCGGCATGTTGTATTTACTGAGAACCGATGATAATCGGAACGGTGAAATTGCGCTAAGCTGCGGATGTTGTTCCTATTCTTATAACATGGATTCACAGAATCAGAACTAGCGATTCTGGAAAATATAACACTTCGTATCTGATTAGCTGCTCATAGAGTATAATCTTCAGTTGTTTGATCACCATATTTGTATTCCATTGGTTTCATTAAAAAAATGTTCTTTTTTTAATGACCCAAACTTCAAAATGTACCTAGAAATTAATGATAGCAAATATTTCTAGTAACTGCCTCAACATCCAAAATCTCTCAACTTTAGCATTTTTTTCTTCCTCTATGAAGTTTTCAGGAGTTCTCTTCACCAATTCTTCACATGGAAGTCGTTTAAGTATAACTTTTTTGGAGAAATAGAATTAATGGATTGATAATTTATAATTTTTAGCAATAAACAACGAGTAAAACATGAGCGACGGATAAATCAATGCTATTATACGGCTCATAAGCTAAATCATTTTTAAGAAAAAAGTCATGGATAAGTCAAATCAAGATGCGAGTAACTCGCGGGTTGACTTTCTTGAGCTCTGGCCCAAGCCCTTCGGGGCTCTAATAAAGAAAACTTATAGAGATGAAACAGTAACGGTGAATACTAGAATCAATGCCACAGATGCACAGTGTATCGACTGCATGAAGAATCCATGATTCTGGTGTATAGATCAATTTTTTTATAGTTCTCTGTTTCAACAATAAGTAACGGACATTTATGAAATATACATTTATATTTTTTTTTAATAACAGGATCCCATTAAAAAGCACAATGATTTTTGCAAAGATTCATTGAGATCGAACTTACGTCAGAACTTTGAGTCAGTGATAGTCTATAAAGAACTATATATTGATGGTAAATATGTGGAAATAATTCAATGTTACGAGCTGTTAGTAATACACATAAAATTAGTAATCAATTATCACTGTAAATTTTCTGTATTCGAACCGACGTTATTGATTTTAGTTCTGAGAATAAAGTTCTTCAAGCTATTCAAGATTGTTGAACCAGATGAAACATGTTTTTAACGCAGAAACATATTGATCATATGGTAGAGTTACATTAACCATTTAAGATGTTACATAGAACCACTTGTTACCTTAATGATCAAGTTGTCCTGGCATGAAAGAAACTTTTGTAGTATCAGACTCGATGAAACATTCTCATGATTGAACTTGCATAGACTCGCAGTACATCTTTTTGGATTTTAAACACGTTAGAATGACTTGTAATTAGGCAGAATTTAATTGAAATATCTTCAATCATAGCATTTCATAACTGACATTTATAGTGTATCGTATATCTTGGAATATTGAATCAGTATTACGGTAAACTAAACACCAGCAAATTTTTAGTCAAAACTATAAAGTTCTTGAATATGTCTCAAATCTAATTAGTTTAAATATCTTTGATTAAATCATGATAACAAAGTTTGAAAAATAGTTTTTTGCATATTCTTAATATTTGTCTCATTAACTTTAAAAGACTTAAAATCACTGATATATTCCATAAATATAGAAAATCAATCTCTTCAATCATTTCTCCTTTTCTAGCTTTTACTTTGTTTATAGAGTATGACTTGTTAAATTTAACTTAAATATAATAAATATACTATCAAGTCATAATATATATTTTTCTAAATGATTTCTTTATTTTCTTGTTTTAGTATTTTTCATCAAAACAAGACAATTTAATTTTCGTTTGATAATTAAAAATTTCTTGAAGGAATTAAATTTATTTAATAGCTCATCTCAAAATCCAAATGTTATACAAAGAGAACGTTATACAACTCGTCTCTTTCTTACATGTATCATAATTAGCATAATTATATACAGTTTTTATATAAGGATAATAAGTCAAACAAAAACAATTATCATAACTAATCCAACTCAAAATGAATATGAACAACTTTGGAATATGCATTCAAATACTCTTTATTGTCTATGTTCTCAAGTTTCAATTCCATATTCTAATTTTATTCAAATTGTACCTCAATTTCATCAATTATGTTCGAGTATGTTTATTTCTCCAGAATGGTTTCATGTGTTCATAAATTTTCAAGCCACTCCTGATTTTAATAGTATCGAAATTGCCAGTCTATTTGGTACATATTATTTTAAAAGTCTCGCTATATTTTGTTCCATAGCAGAGCANATCATATGGCAGTGATTGTGCAGTGAGTTGAAATGAATACAAAACGAAGATAAAAATATTAACTAAACTATTCAGCTGGTATATGAATATAAATATATATATATATAAGATTAATTGCGATTGCCGTATTTCTCTATGACTAATAGAGTTAATTAATATATTTTAAAAAATTTGTTTTAAACAGTTTTTCTGCATTTTATTTACTTTCCCCAAAATTCGAATATCAATCGATTTTTTATATTGAAAATATTTGATGCGACAAACAGTAGATGATATGATTAAGCTTCATGTTAGACAAATTATCGCAGGTTCGAATAGACAGGAGCAATATGAGTCACCTTGGGGTAGCTAATAAAAAGAATTTCACCAACGAGTACCGAGTAGTCTAGAAAGTTAATTCACAGACAATGAATAACACGAGAAAACATTAGTCGTGATTTGAAGTTTATCACACTATGAAATTCTTTGTTTCGTATTCGGCGAATGTCTACGGTAATACTGTTTATGATTTACTTTTACTTTTTTTGTAGATTTTTTCCAGCTTCAGTACAAACTTTATAAAAAAAAATGGGAAATTTAGATAATAATCAAAATACTGAGGTAGTACAGATAAAAAAGAGTTGGTCAAAATATCTCATTGATTATTCAAAAAATCTTAATTTTTATATGTCAAATTCCAATGATAGTGATGTGATATATAAAGAACGATTATCAACTCGTTTATTTATTGCTTTATTATTTATACTTATGATTTGTATAATTATCTATTCTTCGCTTTTATTACATACAATCAATATGACGGTAACTTGNACGGTTCATAATCCTTCTATGGAGAAATTTAAAGATATTTATGATAAATATTCTAATACTTTAACATGTCCTTGTTCTCATACCAGTCTACAATATAGTGAATTTGCTAATTTTCAAGTTACCGTTCATGAAACTTGCAATAGTGTATTTATTTCACAACAATGGATTAATGAAATTTATAATGCTAATGTTTCATTTATTCCACCAAATGATGTTCGAACTATATTGAGTAGTTTTTGGCAATTAGTTCGTTCATTTTGTGATATAATAAATGTTTCTCTTGACGATGTATTCAGTGAATTTGGTTCAAATAAATTATTGAGTCTTTCTGCACAATCTCAACAACTATTAGAAACAAAAGTCAAAGCAACTCTAGATTTCGTAATTAATTCAGCAAAAATAAATCTTAAAAAGAATCTAGCTATTGCACGCGAAACAATTTTGATTAATGAACCAATATCAAACTTAGCTACTAATTACTTCATGTATATAAGTAGTGTAACGCCATATGGGGCTTGGCCAATCAATATTGATATAAATGCAACATCCTTCCCAGATGGCTGTTCTTGCGAGAATCTTAATGGATGTCTACGTTCGGCTGTTATTTTTGAATCTGATCAAAGATCCAACTTCGCAAATGTATCAGGCATTATGTTCGATTGTTTACCATTAGATGCTGCACTTGCTTCATCATTTGAATGTTTCTATGATTTTTGGTGTTTATCATTAATTAGGAATGTGTCAAAAACTAATATGAGACCAGAGCCACTTCATATTCAAAGTCGTTTTGAATATAACACTACTTTAAAGAAACTTTTAAATGAACTTATGATCGAACAAACGACAATGACAGTTAATTTTTCATCTTATTATTCTATGTGTAATCCAAAATATTGCACTTATTCATACATTCATAGATTCGATAAAATTTTCATCATCACATTTACAGCAAGCACATTTGGTGGTATTTCGGGCATACTAAAATTCATCACACCACTTTTGATCAAATTAGCACA